ATACATGACAGTGAAATAATCAGAAAAAGTTTCGTTTTTTTTATAATATTAGTAACCGTTAACTAGGGATGACCTTTGTCCATTAAGCATATTTCCTCGAGCTAAAAAAAAATAATTGGTGTTACAACACAGTTACGAAAACAAATTTATTTTTTCTATATCAGATTATGTGCCGTTGGAATCCTAGTGTTTTCAGGCTACTTAATTAGCGCCCTTTGTCAAAAATTAAATCTTGCAGATAACTTTTAGAAGGAAATAAAAGTAGAAAAACAAACCACGAACAAATACTAAGTATTCTAAATAGGTGTAAATAAAACAATGCGCAGTACCTTTTGCACTTGCAGAGAGAATAAACTTTAGTAACAGATAAAATACTACTAATGTTGTTTTTGTTACTAATTTTTAGGAATTAGTAACAAAAAAATTAAAGACATTCCTAGGAATGTCCTTAATTTTTTTGATAATTAGGATGGCACCCAAACTTTTAAAACAAATATATATAAAACGCCCGTGTCACGATGTTTGTTCACGTTAATCTGTAAAACCGCTCAATCGACTTTGATGAAATTTTGTAAATGTGCAAAAGGCAGTCTTATCGCTAAAGCAATCTCTTCTAGACAACCTTTAGGTGGAGGAGAAAAAAAAAGACGGTAGCTATTTAGCGCAAGAAGTATACCTAATAAAACAACGCTCATATAAATTATATACATATAAGTACATATGGTAGTATGTATTATATCTAATATATAAAATTCTCACGTCGCGGTGTTTGTTACCAAACTCCTCCGAAACGGCTTTACCGATTTTTATGAAATTTTGTGTGCATATTGGGTAGGTCTGAGAATCGGTCAACATCTATTTTTCATACCCCTCAATGATAAGGGTGATCTACTCCTAAATATTTTTTTTATTTTTTTGTAAATTTTTTTTATTTTTATTTTATTATGATTTAGTATTGAAAAATACATACAAATCCAAATTTTTACGCTCTTACGATCAACCCTTGTTTTTTAATCGCGATTTTTATATGCCGCAATAGAGTTGCAAGATGGCAATCGAATATTATAATTGTAATAGGATAAATTTTCATGTATAATTCTCGAAATAACGTATATGGTAAAACAACGTTTGCCGAGTCAGCTAGTAAATATATATATATATATATATATATATATATATATATATATATATATATATATATATATATATATATATATATATATATATATATATATATATATATATATATATATATATCACACAAAATAAAGAGACAATTAGACGTAATAATAGGAGTATTGTTGACTTTTGAGTAGTCCTTCTTAAAACGTCACCAAAGGCTAACTGCGGTTGCCAACCAGTCTGCCAAGCGTGGCGTGGTAACTACTGGTAAACTGCTTCTTTATGGAGAAGGCTTACATTCAGTAGAGGACAGTTAATAGCTGAAATGATCACCATGAAAAATCAATAGTTAACTGATGGTAAGTGACTACCGCTCCTCATGAGCACTCGCAATGCTCGAGGAGTTGCAAGCTTGTATCCAGCCTTAAAAGAAGTAATATGTTATTTGCATGCCTACTATATGCAAGAACCTTTATTAAAAAGATTGGCTACGTAATCCATATCCGAGTATACCAACGTCATTATTAGCTCACTATGCAGACAATTAATTATTAATAGCGGAGTCGAAGCGGTCGCGTGACCGAAAACGGTCAGCAGACATCATCATGCTCTTTCCTTGATGGTCACGACGTCGTATGTTATCATGTATAATTTTAATATTTATTTTATTCGCCTGCAAAGTATTTACTCTTAATAAAAACCATTATTTGGCTTCAACCTTTTGTTTTGATTGTTAGTATCTAATTTCACACACAATAGGAACAAAACATCAGATAATGCGATAAACAAAAAACTGGCCCTGAAAGGAGAACTCTAACCGACCTAAGATATAGGTGATGTAATAGTTACTAAGTAACGTAAGGATTAGAAACAAATGCCTATCAATATCAATTTTTTTTTTATTATATTTGTACAAACAGTCATTACACAGAAAATATATTATAAAAAATATTATATTATAAATAATTTATATTATAAAAACAAAAAAAAAACTGTTTTTTGTTTGTCTATATTAATATATTAATATTATAAAGAGGGAAAATGTAATTAAAATATTTTTGTAATAGATGGACCTCAAAAATGACTAAATTGATTTTAAAAATTCTTTTACCTACATAAAGCTACATTATCAGCAAGTAACATAGTGTTATTTTTGAAAATTCTATCTATACGTGTAAAGCCAGGCCGGATTACTTGTGAATCACTTGATAAAAAAAATACTTAACCGATTTAGAAATTCTTTCACATTGTTGTATATATATTATTTTTAAAAAATTAGAAATGGTCTACCTGTATATCCATGCAAAGCCGGAGTAACCAATTCGAATATGAATATTATTTATTTATTTAAATCTTTATTGCACCAGAAACACAAAAATATATAATAACAATTGAATAATTCAAATACAGTGACATAAATTACAGATTAAAATATATATAAAGGTATGAAAGACAAAATCTCTTACAGACAACTTATAGATTATGACATAGATAATATTTTATCACATAATAATATTTTGTTCCACAAAAGTATCATTTATTAAAGCATTTCAGAAGGAGAAACTCCAAAAACTTTTTACGTGGAATTTCAATGGTTCTTTTTACGTACATAGCCACATTGGTAATTTGATGGGGAGAGAATTTCATGGATGTACTGCGTTCTCAATCAAAGGGTTTCAGTACACATAAGTAGTATAATTAAAGTATCTATAACATCAGAAAGTGTTGTCTCGTTCAAGAATATTTATTGCTTTTTTTTTTGCAAACATATGATCTCCTCTGTGGACCAAACAAAATTGTATAAAAATTATTTCTTATAAGGACATTGATGGATTCCAACGGGATATTTTATTATTAGCCAACTATAATATTCTATAGTTGTCCTTGCATTGTTGCAAGACGATATGAAATAAAAATAATGAAAATAAAATAGATTGCGGAAGAAATTGGAAAAATTTGCAGAGTAAGGCTTTTCGTAATAATTAGATTACATGTATTTATATTGATAGATACATAATAATGTCAGCTTTTTAAACATCACCAAAGCCTAACTGCGGTTACTAATCCACCTGCCAAGCGTCGCAACTACTAGCAAATCCCCCTTATAGGAGTGACCTATGTTGAGCAGTGGACAGTCAACAGCTGATATGATGATGATGATGATGATGATGTTGATATATATAGAGCACCTAGAGTCAAAAATGAGTAAAACTTCATGGATAGATTAAAGTTTTGTTGACGTTTTGCTAATTGAATTTTGACATATATTTTATTGAAACCAAAACATAATGCAGTATTGTTCAATATTGTAAGTTAAATTGGGGAAAATAAACACAAAATAAATTAATTATAAACATATAATAATAGTCAGCCATTTTAAATATGACATATTGCTTATAAATTAATATATATGAATTAAAATGGCGTTCACTTTCAGCAAAGGAAGCCTAGACCTAGTATAGTATTATATTATCTGTGCCTAGACTAAGGAAATGAACTTAGATGGCCTCCGTGGCGCAGTTGTGGGTATATCGCATAAAGGTCCTGAGTTCGATTCCCGTTAGGGTCAATTTAGGAAACGAATTTTTCTTTCGTTTCCTTTAAACGAATCTATCTTAGTGTTGTGGGCTGTACCTCTCAGATATTCGTCGTTATAATAGGTTCCTCATAACACGAGGTTTGTATTCTCGTTTAAGATCAGCCCACTGATGTTATTGTATAGCATACATTTAAAAAATCTATAATAATCAGATGAACCATTTATTTTAATGATTCAAGATTCTCTGAAATCAATGTTTATACATAAGATTATTTATTTATTTAACACTTTATTGCATCAATATTATATGAATTGTTCAAAGATTTTCAATAAGTATAGCAGTATATTACCTCTAGTATTAACAAAAGGTAGTCCCATTATTGCTAAGCAGTTTCATGCAGACAATCTTTGGTAGTATCATACGCAAATAAGTAGAATTATATTCATATATGTGTACGTGCGTGCGACCGTGCGTGCGTGCGTACGTGCGTGTGTGAGTGCGTGCGGGCGTGCGTGCGTGCGTGCTTGTGTGCGTGTGTGTATGTACACAATGCTAATACATATATAAAACACATAATTTTGGTAGGAATGAAGGAGGGCGATGGATCGGTAGTAGGATTTAACTATTTTTTTTTTTCAAATTAACCAGAGTATGTAAGCTGTGACGTACTCGTATTGTACAAATCGAATTTAAATCTATATATTATTGTATTTGTTACTTGTATGTGATTATTATTTGACATTAGCATCTATTGACATTGGAGTATTGTAATAAAATAAATTGTAACAGTTGAACTGAATTAAATGAATTGTTATTGATTGATTTTTTAACATACTATTATAATTTTACTATTATTAATTGAATAAATAGTTGATGTAATGTTAAGTCACTTATATGTATGTATATGTAATGTATCTTGTACCCAATAATAATTTTGTATGCTTTAGAATATAAGGCGAACATTTGTACTTCACAATAGATCAATATCTGTAAAAACAATGTTCTGGCAAATAAACAAATATAAGTCTATAAAGTATTCCTTTCCTACTACAATATTTAAAAAAAAAACATATAAATATTTTATTTGTAGCGAACTTAATAGTTACATAAACTTAGTTTAACTTTCTCGTCTTTTATACAATGAAATTTGAATTATTGAATTCACTTACAGTACTCAACTCGAGTGATTTTGACGAAATGCAATTTATCTCGAATCGTCACCGATAAAATAAGATATGTAGATTTGTTTTCGTACTCGTAAAATCGCGTCGCATTAACCGAAAATAAACTTGAATATAACTGAAGGAAGTCCCTTGTGCTTCACAAAACAACTCTACTTGTGTGCAACTGGCGTTCCTAAAAGACTATATTATACTGAGCATTTGTCATATTTTAATTTTAAATACTTTTTAAAGGGTTTTTAATTCGACGTTTGCACGATTAATGTTCGTAACTCCACCGAAACTGAATTCGCGACTCGTAAGAGCGTGGTTCGGCAGTGTCAATCCGACAGTCCGCTTATGAACACGACTCGGGCGAGTAACGTACTTACTATAGTGGGTACGTAACTGTGCAATACCACAATTCGAAAAAAGAATTAACTTTTTCTTTTTTTTTTTGTCTACGATTAATTGTCAAATCTATGGTACATAGTGATGCTAATTTAAAACTTAGTACGAGTGGCAAAAGTTATATAGTTTGTGAAGTTGTGTTGTGAAATGGTTTAAATTTTTTTTTATCTAAAAACATTCATATTTATAATTAAAATATACTCATTATGTTAATTATTTTTAATAATGTTATTATTGCATGCTATTTATGCATGAACACTGTATAAGGTATATAGATGAAACAGTGTTTGTGGACTTATTTGAAAATAGTAATTAGAAGTGAACTTGAAGTTATTTTTGTAGCTGTTTAAAATTGAAGTACTTTAAAGCAAACAGAGAGGTGAGTTCATTTTTAAACACTTAGTTTAAAATTAATAAACTATTTATTAATTTTACATAACATAATTATATAAAACTTTTATAACGAAATATTTTTTATAATTATTTGAATTAAAAAGATTATCTATTAAATATTCTATTTCAAAACATTTGGTGTTATTATTGACATATTATTTGAATATCTACTATAAAAAAATATACGTACTTGAGTAAATATATTATTATCAATTGTACATATATTATGTGATACATATATTACAAAATATTATCCAGTTTTAATTACTTATTCTTAATATAAATAATCTGAATACAAAAATAATTGTTAATAGTTTAATATATATATACGTATATACATACATCGAAATAAAATATGAAAGATTTTATGACAAATTTACAAGATTTTTTAGTAAAGCCTATGTCTATATTTAAATAGCATTTTTATAATTTTAGAAAAGCGAATATGAATTTAATAATCACAATTTGATTATAGTAAACAAACTGTTGCCCGTAGCTTCGTAAGCGTAGTGAAGTATTTCCCCTTTAAAATTTTCAAAAATCCTATATTAATCCTATATATGGATGCTTATATTCAAAAATAAATATATATTCATAATTTTAGCTTGCTACACTTAGTAGTCAGACCAAACGATTTTATAAGTATCCTAACTAATATTACAAATGTGAAATAAGTTTGCTTATTTATCTGTTAACTTAACGGCTTAACCAATCATTATGAAATATTAATTAAACACGTACTATATGGGATAGAGAATTATACAGCAAACTTTTTATCCTAGTCAGTAAATATATTTCGATCACGCGTACGAAGCAGCGAATAAAAGCTATTAAATATAGAAAAAATTGCTTTTAAAGCAAACACATATCGAAATACAGTTAAAATATAATCAATAATAATCATTATAAATAAATTTTAAATTATACAAAACAACCAATAAAATATAGCTTATAAATATATGTACTTGCACGTACCTTAACAATGCAAAAGGGCTCAAAGTTTAGTGTCAAATTTTGCTCAAAGTGCAAAACACTGATTTTCAGCTATGACCACGGGCATAAGTCCGAAATACAAACAAGAAAGGAAAACTTATTAAGAACTGCGCTCTATCAATGGAACTCTTGCCATTTACCACAACTTTCGACGAGTTTTTTTTTTTTTATTTTTAATACAATATAACTTCAAATAATCTCATACAATATGTAAATGCTAGCCCAGTATTAATAAACGTTAAATAAATTTATTCAGCCGCTTTATGAACGCTGGAAAGGCAAAATATATTCCCTTCGATATTGAATTACATAAAATTTAATTTAGTTTTTTTTTTCTGCGTCGAATGGCGTATTAATAAATTAATCAAAGCAAGTTGATGGCACTTTAAACAAGTCACAAAATGGCCAACTACAGAAATTTCTTTGATTTACACTTTACAACTTTTGGTTGTTTTCCATTTTTATATAAAGTATGTCAAGAATACAATGACTGATTATTTTATGTATTAAAGTAGTATACTAAATGTTTCATACGTTACGTTATCTACTTACTCCCCCCATAAATCAACATAAAGTCATCATAAGTTTTGAGCAAATAAGTGAATAATATTTTCAAATTCAAATTAATGGCTTATTCGTGGTATTAATTATTTTATAAACATTATTTATTCGTCATAAAGGACGCAAAATATTATATATTTTTTTTCTTGTTGCTCCAAGGTTAATAATAATAATAAAAATATAATAAATAAATAAAATAACTAAATCCGGCCTTAGTCATATTTTAAGTTATAACCAAAGAATTTGATAACTAACACTGTAAATTTTTGTCATGTCATATGATTTAGCCAAAAACGAGCATTATTTTAAGATTTGAGTTCCTTTGTAGTGGCAATACAACACAAATGGTAAATAATACTAATGCAGAGATGGTATTGCAAATGTGCGCAGGATGGCAAAATTTTGGTTTGAACTCTTCTGTTATGGAAATTTCAAACTCATCAACGACCTCTGTAGACGACGCTGAATCAGCGTACAAACGAGGGGATTCTGAATCAGTTATATATAGGGCGGAAGTTAGACTTTGTATGATAATCATAAAGATTCGTCGTTAACAAACATACTAAACTTTACCCACGAAGTGAAATACATTTACTACTGTAATTTTTTGGAGGAAACAATAAAGAGTATCTATTTATCTATTTGGAGTCATTGGCATCGTTTTAAGAAAGTGTTGTATAAGTATAACTTAACATTTCCGTGAAGAAACAAGAGTATAAAATGAGTAAAGAATTTAATTTAACAGTTGAGAGTGCGTGTTAATAGACTGGTATGGAAGACTTTTTATTTAACACTCCCTTGAAATGTTGTTAAGGATTTAAACATCAGCCTGTATACGAGTATACTACCAAAAATTTAAACTTTAATATAAGTGATAGAAAATAAAGGCGGAAAATGGTAAAACATTTTCAGCTCACAGGTATAAAAATAATACGTGTAAAAATTTAGATCTTCCTGTTCTAATTTAATAGTTGAAGTACATTAATAATTTAATAGATAAAAAATTTAAAGTCGATTGCTTGGGTACCTCTGTCCCATTCGTGTTTTTACCGTGAAGCAGTTGTGTTTGCATGGCTGTGTTTCGATTTGAAGGGTGAGATATAGCGTGAATTTACTGGGTACAGAGGAATAACACCTGTGTCCTCAGGAATGGCAACGCATGGAGGGTATCATGGGCGAAATAGTATACTCTGTTATGTCCATGGTACTTACTGCTCATGTCTATAGGCGACGGTTACCACTTTCCATCAGGTGGGCCGTCAGCTTGTTTGCTATTCTAAATTGTATAAAAAATAAATACATGAAGTACTTCAACTATTAAGTTAGTATAGGAAGTTCTTAATTTTTGAAGTTTTCCGACAATATTTCTTTGGGGAATACATCACAAGTAAAACATATTCTACAATAACTTTTAATCCCTTCTGTAGGTATACTAACAAGCTCACAATTAAATTATGTATACTGGTCAACAGACTTGCCTTGTTCTCAATCTAAACTCTTTTAATTTATAAGTAGTTGGTTGGGCAGTGTGCGGATGAGAGGCGTTGTCGTGCAGAATTTAGGACTAGAATAATTGAGAAGTCTCCATAATTTATTATAATGCAGATACTGCGTAACCAACTGTCTGTAAATTACAAGACCTATCTTCACCAAACCTAGCTCTTAAAACGATTTATTCTTTTTTCGAAATTTATGTAACAGGGTATGGTGACATAACATCTTAGTTCTCTGAAGAAGTCATGAGGCGTACTATATGTATTATACTATAGAATATTTATTTTTTCTTTAATCTTTATTGCATCACATATATATTATATATTGTTACTATTAATATAGACAAAAATAAAGAAAGTACATAAGACGGTTTCATTACTAGAAAAATCTCTTTCAGACAACCTTGGTAGAGGAGAAAAAAGTTTTTTAATAAGAAAATTATTTAGTGATCGTCACTCGTTTATAGGCGATAATTACAGTTTTGCGTCATTTAGACCCTCACGTTGTTTACGACACCGAGCTATATATAAAAATATCATAATTAACAGCCATTTATTATTTTTCACTGCTGCAAATAGACTTGAATGAGTTGTCAAAATTGAATGTTCCCTATAACAATATACGGAAGAGTTTTAAATTCGACGATTTAGTGGAAAATAGAACGTATATATATCGTTCCCAGAATTTTTTAGCTTGTTTTAATAAAATTCATTAATTAAACAATAATGGCCAAATAGGTGTCAATATCGATTATTAAACAAATTAACATTAATATTTTAAGAAGTATTTCATATTTTTCTCAGTTTATTTATAGGTGAAAATAGAATGGTAACCCCGCCAGCGCTATCGGTGTACGTTGGCGAGGTGTTAGTGAGAGATGTTAGGTGAGAATGAAAGCAGATCAGTTAGTCCATTGTGATGAATTCCGCAAAAATTAACAATGGTTTCCAGAGGAAACCATGTGGAGTGGTCTCCATAGGATACGTTGCTAGCAATGGGGCTATTAGAACCCATTACTAACAATGCCTTTCTCTCTCTTTTTCCTAGTTAGGTATAATTATATTATTTTGAATATTTTTACAGAAATCATACATATTTTTTTTTAATTTAAATAAAAATTTTTCTATTTAGCTATTTTTTTTGTATTCAAAAGATAAAATGTTAATACAAGAAAAAAAAACTTTTATAGTTTCTTTTCTCGAGCTTACGATAATTTAACCAATCGCAGTGCCTATATATACACGGAAATATAATTTAATCAACAAACTCCTTCTGTTGTGAAGTCATTAAAGATAAAATGATATTTGTTTAGATAAGTGTATTCACTGTTTTATTATCTTTACTGATTTATTAAAACGATGCGTCCAGCTATCGAGCTGGTATGGAGTGAAGGAATTGTGATATTTTATTGTTTTTTGAACCAAGTTGCTTTAAGAAAATTATTTAGTTCCATTATTAGAATTATTATAGCCATAGTGTAACGTAATACTTACAGCAGAACACTCTATTAAAAGTATACAATTTCAATAAGACATCTATACAGAATGAGATCAGGAATTCTACTATGAAACGAAATTCTGAATTTTTGAACTCAATTTCATGTTTTTATTCATTTAGGTAATTACATTGGCCCAGTAAATGGAGTTTAACATCTCGCTTGTCATAAGTCCTACCGAAAGATCAATGGAACGATACTTTATCAATTTTAGTAAATACTAAAAAAAATTCGCGGTCGGTCCCAGCATAGAATGGGCTACCCCTTCCTTTTCCGTGAGTGTCGTAAGAGGCTACTAAAGGAGCTTATGATGGAGAGATGGGCAGCAACGTCCCTCTTAAAACATTTCTAAAAACCTAACTGCGGTTGTCAACCTGTCTGCAAAGCATGGCAACTATTGGCAAAACTCCCTTTATAGAAAGGCTTATGTCCAGCAGTGGACA